GAGTTTTCCACTGAATCCTCTGATTTCAGATGATAAGCAAAGGGAGAAAGAGAAAGAGAAAAGAGAAAGAGGGAATGGAGAATTGCACCACTGGCTTTAGGGCCAGGCTTGGAAGTGACCCACATCACCTCTGCCTACCTTCCAATTGTCCAGAGCTCAGTCACATGACCACTTCTAACTGCAAGGGAGTCTGAGAAATGTAGTCATCCTGTGTGTCCAGAAAGAAAACAGTTTGGTGAACACAGAGCATTGTCTGTGCCTCAAACATACATTACTAAGTTGTCAACCGACAAAGTTTTTCCAGTTTATTTCCTATCAACAGGGTATGAGAATTCCTTTTTCCCAACACACTCAATAATTAAGAAGATGACATTTTTTGTGTTTTCTGTTGATCTGCATGTGGTGTTGTTGCTTCTCTGCATGACTAGACTCAGAATACCTGTTTCTCTCTTGGAGTTAATCTCCCTGAGATAGGGACCATACCTCTGTGGAGCCAGGATTCTGCATTCCTGGCTGTTTCAGAACAGCAGTCCTCGCTGCTGTCTCCTAGGCTGGCCTGAGTTTCTGGGCTTTCCTCTGCCTGTTCTTCCTGCTCTCCTTCCCTTCCCTGCTGCAGAAGAAGATGTGATATGCAGGAGTCCGCGACACAGGTGACCCTTGCAGGGACTCTGCCCCAAGCCCCCAGCCCCGGCACACCTCTGAATGCATGGCTCCTTCAGAGACAAAGGAAAAGATTGAAGCTCTGCATTTTCTGTGCTGTCTCAGGTGTGTTCCAGCTTACATTTTCACAGAAGAAAGGGCAGAAAATGAAATTGGGAGTCAAAAATAGCAACTCAATGCTGACTTGATCTCGATCAAATCATCTGGTGCCTTGTCCTTAGTGCTCAGCGTTCCACCAGCATAATCTTCCCCCAATGCAATCAGGATAAATAAACTGCTTAGAAATCATAAACGGGAGGTGATAGGATTGTGCAAAGCCTATTCTTGTCTGTCTTTGTGTGAACCCAGGTTGCTGAACACAGCTCATGCCTGAGCTGTGGTTTCCTGCTTGTTTTGAAATTTAGTTTCTATAAGATAATGCTTTTGAATGGCTTCTTGTTCATATCTTCCTCAAGGGAGGCCAACTGTTGCTTGACGATTGTCTGGCAAGCCTGGCCCCTGGAAAAGTAAGGTTTCCAGTGAGGTATTTGCAGAAAGTCTTCAAAAAGTGTCCTTGTTCATTCCCTCTGGGGAACTGAGGGCCTGGGCATCAGCACAGCAGAGGAATGCAAACTGAGCAAGTCACAGACTTTCCAGGCCAAACTTCTGGTCCTAGGCATGCAGCCTTCCCAAAGCTAGGATGGTTCTTGCGTTTTCTGAAGAATGAATCGATGCCTTATCCTTTCAGGTTGCACCCTCTCATCCGTCCTGAGAGGCAGCCATGGTCTCTGAGGGGAGATTAATAGCTGGGCCTCTTGGTGAGTGAATCACACCAACTGTAATCCTGGTTTAGGATCTAGAAATAGAAAGAGGAAGTGGCTTAGAAATAAATACAAAGAGCACAGCCAAGAAAGGGCTGTAGTAGAATTCTCCTCAAACGACACAGGATACAATGGGCAGAGGTGAAGCTTGACATCTTTTTTTCTCTCTGTTACCACGATGCCCTCTGGGAGGGCTGGCCATCTGAATAGGGAGTGGGATGTCTTCCTGGGTATGGCATCTGGGGGTGCTGGAGGGGGGACCACTGTGCATCAGTAGGTTCTCTCCAGAGTGAACCCACCTGTGGGATGCCAAAGCCCCTTTCCACTTCATCTTTGTAAGTCAGTTTGGGTTCTTGGAAATGAGTTTTGCCAGTTGTTATAAATGTAAACTCTCAAGAGGTGCTTTCCACAAGGAAAACAGATTTCTGGTGGCTTTTGGTGGTTTCTAGAAGGTTCCCTGAGCCCGTGGGGGAAGGACTTCCTCGCACCAATTCTAAGATACAGAAGTTCACTGCCATCCTGAGATTCTCAGCGTGGGGTGCTGGATGGGGTGGCTTCCCTGCAGTGGGCATGGCCAGGGGGTTCTGGCTACAGGGGGCAGCTGCTGTGGGTGGACAGGAGCTTGGAGGGCTGGCCCCTGATGCATGAAGGCCACCTCCCAGGGCTTCCCCAGGCTCCTCTTGGCTCTCCTAGAGCCGCGGGGCTGCCAGTGCAGGGCCAGATGGAGGCTCAGACCTGGGCCATTCCCACTTCTCTTGGAGGTGGCCGGGTCCTCAACAGCATCTCAGCCGCTCCTCGAGAGCCTTGGGACTACCTCCCCAGGCTCCGCCCCAGCCCTCACCCACAGAAATGGGATGCTCTTTAGTGTTTCATGGGCCCATAACTCCCAGGACAATGCTGGGCCCACAGATCTCAGTGGGTGACTCTTGACAACCTAGCAGGGCCGGGCCTGGTCTCTGAGGAGGGTCCTACTTGGGGGTCAGTCCACCTTCTAAAAAATGCCTCCTGAGGACCCTCTGCAGCCCAGTTTCTCAAGGTGTAGTCCCAGGCTGCCAGCAGCAGAATGATGGGGTGAGAATAGGGCTGTCATAGAGGCTGGTTCTTGGCCTCCTCTGTCTAGCTCCAGAATCTAAATTTCTCTGAGAAGGTCCTAGAAATTTGGGTTTCTGCAAGTACCCCCTTCCCCAGTTGGCCAGTACAGTCAATTTTACAGCCTTCCTCTATACCAATCCTGGTCAAGTTTATTATCCCTTTCATGAAAATAATTTGTTTCCTTTTCAACCTTTTGAAAATGAAATCGGAAGCACAGGGATCCACTTACATAAGAAATGTCACTGGGGCTTTAATCAACAAGTTTGGGCTGCTGATTCTATCAGGGGATTTGAAGGAAGCCAATCTTTGGTTATCAGGTGACCACTATCTGCTTTACTGTTGACTTGTCGCCATTAAAGGAGCCTCCCCAGCTTTCCCTTCTCTCCTCTTTCTGCAAGGATATGGGCCCCCTGCTCCTGGAAGTGGTGCTCTCTGAGTGCTTTAGCAGAGTAGTACGTGAAAATAAACTTCTTCACATACCCCGGTGAGGCAGGAGTGAGATCCACAGGTGTTTCCACAGAGACAACACTGACCCCAAGGAAAGGTACAAGGCACAGTGACAGATGACATGACAGAGATGTGCAGGAAAGCCCCAAGCACCCTTAGCTCTGCTCAGCCTGTGGTTCTCACTCTCCTCATTGCAGAGAGCAATGCAGTTTGTGCTGGTAAATCAGCTCTCCGTGGAAAAAAAAGAAAAAGAAAAAAACCCTCATTTGTAGTATTTGCCAGTTTCCACAGTATAAATACTCCCACCAGTGCAGATTTCAAATTACCAGTGGTTTAACAACTGATTCACAAAATTCTTGAATATTTAATGATTGGTTGTTGCAAATCAGAAGGCGACAGCTCTAGCACCTGATCTTCTCTTGGCCGTGCCTCCAAAAGTCCCCGAAGCCTACCAAGGGGAACATCATTTTCAGCTTCTCAGTCAGAAGAAGTGGTTGAAATTTTCCCAGATGGTTATGACTAAATATCATAATGGTGAATGTGGAAGGACAGGGGGCAGGGGGGAGATTTTTTTTTTTTTTGTCTGCTAAATTGGAGAAGAGTCTTCCTTTCTCTTGGGCTCCTCTCTCCTGGGGCTGGGGGGCACTTCCCATCAGAGTCCGGCACCGCTTCACCCCCAAGGCCTCTTAGCACCCTCCCGGGGCTCCAGCAGCTCACTCTCTCCTTTAAAACCCTGTGATCCCATCCATGCCAGAGAACAGAATGCTCCTCCTTTAATCGGACAAGTTTAAAATGGAGGGTTTGGGAGCTACTCTGAATGGATTCTGGGTCCTGCCCTGTGGCTGGGGTGGTGCTAAAATAGATTCTTTCTTAAAAAGCTGGCCTCAAGAAGATTCTCTATCCAAGACCTAAAGGCTGAACAGCCCAGACTGACCTTTTCTAGATTTTTAGGGAGTCTTGAAAATGACAGGGGTGGGCAGATAGTTGTCATAAAGCTGAGCATGACTGAATTTACCCACAAGCCTGTGACGCCAGCAATCACACAGCTTTTCCTTCCCCTTTAGGGATGACGTTGCACAGGGGAAAACGGTGACCTACTTTTCTTCCCCAAACATTGGGCAGCCGGTTGCATTTTCAGATTTAAAACTCACCCACACAGCTGTGGTTTCTGTTCTCCAGCACTCCTGGGTGTGCTTCTGGCTAGAGCTGGTCTTGTAAAGTGGAGTTTGTCTGGGAGTCCTCCTGAGAGACGCCGGCCTGACAGCCCCAGCCCACGTGCCTCCCGTACGTCAGCATGGGTGCGGGGCTGCCCAGATCCCTGCAGGTGTGGGCACAGGAGAATCCAATTTTGTCCCAGGCTCGGCCAGGGAAGCGCCTTAAAGAAAAGTCTCACTGGAAAGAGCCTTGAATCTGGGGCCTCTCTAGTACTCTAATCACTTCAAGTCAGTTAACAAATTTTTACTGAGGATCTACAGAGGGGTTCAGAACATACCATCCAAAAATATCCCACTTTTATTATTTTGAGCTGACGTCACATGAGAAACAGCAGATGCAGGAAAGTCTCTGACTTGCCCCTTTCTACCTAAAAGCAGGTCATAAAATTGCCCCTGAGAAAGGTGCCCTTCTACACGCCAGGAAGAACAGGGCATTCTCCTCACCAGAGACGGAGAGAAGATGCCCAAACGGGCCAAACCTACTAAAATAACACTTGGCTCCCATCAGTTTCCCCCATGTATTTCCTAGTCATGGGCCCACATTTACTTACCCTAGGCTGAGCCCCTGTGTCTTGTCACATCCCCCACAGTGTATTGTCCTTTGTTTAAAAGTCATATGAACTTTTAGGCCTAATGATTTCATTTTTGAAGACTCTTGTGTACACTTAAAAATATGAAATAAAACTTGTATGCTTTTCTCCTGAATCTGTCTTGTGTCAGTTTAATTCTTAGGTTCAGCTAGAGAGCCTAAAAGGGTAAGAGGAAGGTTTTCCTCCCCTGTATCAACTACGGAGATAATGGTGAGCAAGGCAGAGTCCCTCCTTCATGAAGCACACAGTCTCCTTTACAGGGCAGGCAGGCCTTGTACAAATAATTGAATAATGACTAGGGTACAAAGTGTTTGACAGAGAAGCATAAGACACCAGGGGAGCATAAGATAGGGAGGCTAATTCAGGCTGAGGGACCCAGAACGGTTCCTGGAGGAACTGAGATAGAAGCTGAGACCTGAGGGATGGTTCAAATCCAGTGGAGTATGAGATCCTCCAGACACAAAAAATTTATGCTTCAGAAACATTGTCTTCGCAAGATTGAGCTTGCAAATTTAGATAGTAACTGTCTTTCGTTCACATGCAATGTGGTGGTGGAGACCACTGCTTGCCTTCCAACATTCATTCTTCTGTTCTTAATAACAAATCCCCTGTTTTTGCTAGGTACACAGCTACCCAGAGAAAAGATTACTTGGCCATCTTACTAAGTGCTGGCCACTGAAATGTAGGCAGAAGTAATGTGTTGGGGGGGTCTCAGAGAAGCCTCTTTTCTGCTACCTGGTACCTGGATATGATGGCTGGAGGCTAAGCAGTCATTAGGGGCCATGAGGAGACATGCTAAGCTTAGGGGAGCAGTATATGAAGTTCCCTGGAAATCACACAACTGCCCTACCAGCCCTAGATTGCCTATCCTCAGATTTCTTTTATGTGAGAGAAAAATAAAGATCAGCCTTTACAAAGCCTCTATTATTTTGGGATTTTCTATTATGCAAAGCCAAATATAATCCCAGCCATTACACAGAACTTCCTTTCAGCCTAATGACAAGATCATTTATCTCTACTACCCACAAATTCCCTATTTTGTATTCCCTATTCTGTAATAATAATAATAATAATAGTATCTCTTCTCCCAGCCCTTTCATTCCTTCCCTGGCCTCCTTGCCCTCCCCTTCCCCCTGCACCTCCCCTCTTTCCTTACTCCCACATCCAGGCTAGGCCTGACCCGTGTTTCTGCCTCTATGGATGACAGGCCCCAGCCCAAAGGTTCTTGAGCTCCCACTACCTTCCCTGCAGAGCTGCCTGGTCAGAGCCCTGATGCAGAGAGTGACACAAAGTCTGGGGGGACAGCCAGCCTTTCACACTCCTCCTTGCCCTTCCCAAGGAGGTATGAAAAGTTTGAATAATCAGACAAAGTTGAGAATCTGCTCTAATTTAGATAGACCACAAAAATGATGGGAGCTGTTTAATGGAACCTCCCCAAATTGGGCTTTTTAAGCTGTATAGGGATGAGTTTGTCTGTTTCCCCAGCCCCTGACTGAGTTCAGGAGGTCAAGACTGAAAACAAGAAGGTCAGTGTGTTTGGTTATGAAACTCAGACCTCAGCACACTGGGCCAGATGAGATGAGGCCTGGTGTGAACTGAATTGTGCACCATCCCCCACAACAACAAAAATACAGTGAAGCCCTAGTCCTCAGTGCTCAGAAGGTGACCTCATGGGAAGACAGGGCTTCTATAGAGGTAATCGAGTTAAAACAAGGTCCTTAGGGTGGGCCCTTATCCAATGTATCTGTGACCTTATAAAAAGGGGAAATTTGGATACATGAAGGTAGAGAGGGGCTGATGTTCCTACAAAGTGAGGTATGCTGAAGATTGTCCGTAAAGTTCCAGAAGCTGGGGAGAGGCTTGGGGAAGGTTCTCCCTCACAGCCACCGAGGAACCCAGTCCTGGGGATGCCTTTATCTCACACTTCTAGCTTCCAGAATTGCAAGACAAGAAATTTCTGTTGCTTAAGCCACAGTTTGTGGACCTTCATTAGGGCAGCCCTAGCAAACTAATATGAGGTCGCGGTAGTGCCAGCTGGCAGGAGTTTGCAGACAGCCGCTGCTCTCGCATGGTTTCCCTGCTGCTTCACTTCGGGATATGAAGACGCTGAGAACAGCTGGAGTCTCTCTTGGACATTCCACTTAACCGAGGGCCCCAGGGAGTCCTCTCTCCACCTGGAGGCAAACAACCAGTGGCATACCGAGTGGGGTCAAGTCCTGCAGAAGGGGTCCTGTCTGTGCACCTCCTGGGACTCATGTTAAACAAGGACACTTCCCAAGAGCAAAGGGATGATGCTAACTGGCAAGGTCTGCCTGTGAATCTGTCTATATCTATTTATCTATCTATCTATCTATCTATCTATCTATCTATCTATCTATCTATCTATCTATCATCTATCTATCTAACTCATTATCTTTCAATCTATTTTTTCTCCTTTTCTTGGCAGAAAATCAGTGTCTAGATGGGTGCTAAAAGTGGTGCACAGTCTTTCCAGACCGCAACTAAGCCTTTATTGAACAATTATAGTGTATGCACGAACACACACACGAAAAAACCATATGCAGTCTCTTCTGCCCCTGTCCCCACCACTTGTTTCCACCTGGGGGCTTGGAAAGCAGAAGGGATGGGGGAAGAGGGACAAAGGACATCCAAAGGCTCATCTGCTCATTCTCCTGTCTCATCACACAGTCTAGGCTGAGGCTGCTTTGAGCTCCTGGGGCATTTGTGAGGCAGAGTGAGGACTTGCTGCTACTAAGCATCTATGTCCCTTCTTGTTCTGCTGGTAGTTCTTCACTTGTACTATTTATCCCTCTTCATAACTAGACATTAACCCTATTTTAAAAAGCCAAATCTGAGACCCGGAAATGTATCCTGGGGTCTAGTGATTTCTGGTAGGCACTTGGGATTGCTGTCTGGGCTGGAGATAGAGATTGGAGAGGCGTGAGCAGAGGGGGCAGAGCGGGTCAGTAATTTTTGGAAACTCTTCTGTGAACAAGGTTGTGAGGAATGGAATACAGCACATTTAAAGAGAGAAAGCAATACTGGATGGACAGAAAGAAGAAAAGGGAAGAAAACGAAGACCTTCCAGCTGCATCACTCTGCTGCCTTGGGTTGGAGGAAATCCCTAAAGCACAGATCTGCATTTTCTCTCTCCCTTGGAGAAGTCACCCAAGAACTGGCCGTGCCCTGCTTTTTCTATGGAATCTCTCTTTGCCTGGAATGGTCTTCCCAGATCTTTAATATTCCAAAAGAGTAAATGCGGAAGTTCCCAGGGTGAGGCTCTTGTGAAGGTAGCAGCGTGGGCACAGTTTCATTTAATCCCCCTTGAGAGCGGTCGTTGTCTCGGGAGGAGCACAGCTGCACCCGTTGTTCCTAGGGGCAGAAACGACTGCTGGCTCCGACTTCTTCATTTTCTTCCTGGACGTCCTAGTCTCCTTTCAGGGGCCAAAGAACAGTGGGAGAGACGAGGCCAGGGGCTCGGATACAGTAGGTCGAGGAAGCACCTCCGGCCCTCCCCCTGCTCTCCCAAAGGCCTCGTTTTGCACAGGAGGGCAGCGCGGTGCTGTGGAGCGAGCACCAGGCCGCGCTCACCCTCTGTCACTGACCTGAGACTGCCAGGGGGACCCCCACCCCTCCGGTTCACCTCTCTCTAGGCTAGTCAACGGAAATCGCTTCTGAAAGGAAGGCAACAGCTACATTCTTGTTGGATCTGTAAAATAAGTTAAGAAGTTTCCCAGAGGCTCTCAATCTACACTTCAAGGGCAAAAAAAAAAGCATTAACCTAGTTTCGTTATATTTTAGGAAACAAATGCTGGGCACCACAAAGCACCTATTATGCTATAAGTTTTCTGGAGAGAAAACAAGACAGAGCTCATTTTCAGCATGTAGGATAGAGCCTGTTGTCTGAGGACCCAGTAGTTTTGACCCTCCAATGAGTAAGTCTGTCAGAAAAAGCAGTTGTGACCATAATCTATCAAGTGTGTGCATTAGTAGGAAGCTTTTTGCTTGGGCCCCTTTCAGAGAGCTTGTTCTCTGGAGGTGTGTATATGGCAGCCAGGGCTGGGCTGGTCCACTGCGGGAGTGACTAGGGGTGCAGAGGACATACTGAGTGTGGCTCTGCCTTTGTGGAGGCTTCTGAAAACATCACATGGAAACTCCATCCCAACTGGGGTGTCAGAATCACAGGAAATTACCTTTAGCTTGAGAGCACACCCTTAAATTACAGAATAGCCATCAATGAGGAACTCTCTTTCTAAACCTTTGTAAGGGCTACACATTATGCATCTATGTGGTTGGCTGGTACCTTCTAGCAGCCCACCAACTGGAATTCTTTCATTTAGACAAGGAAAGACCCTTAGTCCTGTGCTAATGAGGCTGTTGCCCCAGGCCTCCAGGGAAGCTTCCTTTTTTTCTAATCTGCCACAGTCTCCTCTCCTAAAGTGGCATAGGACAAGGCCTCATTGACTGGAGCCCTGGAATTTGCCTTCATCTCTCTACCTCTTTTTTTTCCCTCCAAGTAAAACCCGTGTTTTTAATCTACTCCTGTGTAACAAATTACTCTTAAACTTAATAGCTTAAAACAAAAAACATTTTTCATCTCACAGGTTCTGTGAGTCAGTAACCTGGGTGTGGCTCAGATGGCAATTCTGACTCACAGTCCCTCCCGAGGTTGCAGTTAAGCTCTTTGCCAGGGCTGCAGTCATCTGAAGGCTCAGCGGGGCGGGCTCTGCTTGCAAGCTCAGTCATGTGGTTTCAGCAGGCTTTACTGTTGGCCGAGTCCCTTACAGCATGACCCTCTCACAGCCTGTATGAGTGCCTCAGGATGTGGTAGCTGGTTTTCTCCAGAGCAACTAATCCAAGAGAACAAGAGAGCAAGTAAGATCCAGAGGCAGAAGCCACGGTCTTTTATAACCTGATCTCAGGAGTGTCGTACCACCACACCTCCTGTGTTCTGTCAGTCACATAGACCAACTTGATACAATGGGAGAGAGGACTATGCAAGGGTATGGATGCCAGGAGACAGGCATCTTAGGAGCCACCTGGGAGGCTGGTTACCACTGGGAGAGGGAAGTGGGGAAGAGGGTCATGCACTGAAAAGGTTAGTGGTTTGAACTGGCTAATGAGCAACTCTTTCATTAAGTGGTTGAGTGTCCTTCAAAAGTCAGCATCTCTGCTTCTTATCTCTGGGCCTTTCCTGTAAAGTCAGGTGTTCAAATTAGCATGAACTTTAGATCCCCTAAAGTCTGTAATTCTAGGAAATTGAGGTTGGTGAGGAGAGGAGTGAAGAAGGAAAGGAGTAGGGAGAGAAAGGAACTTGGGTCTCCTGAGGTAGCCCCAGCACCGGAGCCCTGAGCCGGCCCCAAGCCCAGGCCCCAGGCCCGGGGTGTCCTGCAGTTCCAGGATCAGCAGACACCCAAGTCTTAGCATTTGCCAAGTGAGGAAATAAGAAGAGGAGCTCTCATTTAACAGCTTATGCCCTGTTTTCCTGAGGTCTTTAGACCTATTTCTGTGCAAGAGCAAAACAGAGATAACCAAGGTTACACCAAGCCTAGGGAAAGGGGTCCTCTGGTTTCCAGAGCTGGTGCGGGTTTGTGTGTAAATCAGCAAGAGTTCCTCACTAACTTTTTCTGAGTGGAGTACAGCCACCCCAGCACCTGCCTCCAGAGGAGTGCCTGCTGGGACCATCATCGCTTCCCATTTGACGTCCTGCCCAGCGATTCCAGGCCGCTCCTCTCACGGGTGATGGATCCGCTAGACTTCGGGGAGCACGCTGCTCAGGGGGCACCTGGGAGCCTTGGTGTGCGAGCATCCTGGGATGTCTTTCTGGGGCTGGTCTGCTCGGGGGAGCTGCCGCCTGAGAGCGCAGGACCCAGCTCCCCTCGGTCTACTTGCCTGAGGGAGCAGCTCTCAGAACCACGGAGACATGGACTTCTGTAACTTTCGAGTGGAGAGACTTATTCTCAGAGATGAGTTATCTGCTTCGGCACCTGTCTTGCGCCGCTCCCCGGAAGCTCCCAGGCTTTATGACTCCCCGCGTCATCCTTTGGCACAGTGGGCGACGCCTGAGTCATCCCAGGAAACATCCTGGCCAGTTTATTCCCAAACGCTGAGATTTACTGCTCAGGTTTTGAGCTGTTCCTTTGGGAAAGCTTCCAGTTTTGCGGTTCTCATAATAAAACCAGAAACTTAAAGTGCCTCAGGAAGCCCCGAGGGCTGAGGGGGATGTGCCCAAGACTGCCAGCCCCTCAAGCAGGTCTGTACTCTTGCAGGGCTGGTGCAGCACAACCAGGGGAGGAGCAGTTGGGCTCTGGTTGACCCAAAGAGACTAAATGCTAAATTCACAGCAAGGTTTCCTTCTGAGAAAAATTAAAGTAGACCAATTGGAAAGAAAGAGCCTTATCTAAACAACCAGGTGATATCAGTTACACTACACTGAGCACTTCCTAACATTTCAGACATAAGGTCTGAGGCTGTCTGCTGACATTTGAATTGACTTTAGATAAAATGTAAGTCGTGCTTCCATATCATGAGTCATAGGGCTCTGTCACTTGGACCAGAGCTACTGCAGTGAAGAACCATTTCCCGGACCTGAGTATATTCTGGAGACTTAGCTCTCCCAGACTGGACTGGGACTTCTGGCCAAGCTCCAGCCAGGATTTAATACTCACCTTTTCTTTCTCTTTATTCTCTCCTCTTCTCTTCCCTTCTCTTGCCTTCTTACTGGTTTCCAGAGCTGGTGCGGGTTTGTGTGTAAATCAGCAAGAGTTCCTCACTAACTTTTTCTGAGTGGAGTACAGCCACCCCAGCACCTGCCTCCAGAGGAGTGCCTGCTGGGACCATCATCGCTTCCCATTTGACGTCCTGCCCAGCGATTCCAGGCCGCTCCTCTCACGGGTGATGGATCCGCTAGACTTCGGGGAGCACGCTGCTCAGGGGGCGCCTGGGAGCCTTGGTGTGCGAGCATCCTGGGATGTCTTTCTGGGGCTGGTCTGCTCGGGGGAGCTGCCGCCTGAGAGCGCAGGACCCAGCTCCCCTCGGTCTACTTGCCTGAGGGAGCAGCTCTCAGAACCACGGAGACATGGACTTCTGTAACTTTCGAGTGGAGAGACTTATTCTCAGAGATGAGTTATCTGCTTCGGCACCTGTCTTGCGCCGCTCCCCGGAAGCTCCCAGGCTTTATGACTCCCCGCGTCATCCTTTGGCACAGTGGGCGACGCCTGAGTCATCCCAGGAAACATCCTGGCCAGTTTATTCCCAAACGCTGAGATTTACTGCTCAGGTTTTGAGCTGTTCCTTTGGGAAAGCTTCCAGTTTTGCGGTTCTCATAATAAAACCAGAAACTTAAAGTGCCTCAGGAAGCCCCGAGGGCTGAGGGGGATGTGCCCAAGACTGCCAGCCCCTCAAGCAGGTCTGTACTCTTGCAGGGCTGGTGCAGCACAACCAGGGGAGGAGCAGTTGGGCTCTGGTTGACCCAAAGAGACTAAATGCTAAATTCACAGCAAGGTTTCCTTCTGAGAAAAATTAAAGTAGACCAATTGGAAAGAAAGAGCCTTATCTAAACAACCAGGTGATATCAGTTACACTACACTGAGCACTTCCTAACATTTCAGACATAAGGTCTGAGGCTGTCTGCTGACATTTGAATTGACTTTAGATAAAATGTAAGTCGTGCTTCCATATCATGAGTCATAGGGCTCTGTCACTTGGACCAGAGCTACTGCAGTGAAGAACCATTTCCCGGACCTGAGTATATTCTGGAGACTTAGCTCTCCCAGACTGGACTGGGACTTCTGGCCAAGCTCCAGCCAGGATTTAATACTCACCTTTTCTTTCTCTTTATTCTCTCCTCTTCTCTTCCCTTCTCTTGCCTTCTTTGGTCTCAAAAAGACATCAAGTGATTCTAGGTTTGGGAATTCAAAACATCCTTACAACCAGAATCTAAGAGATAGATAGGGTCTTAGAGGTTATGTAGTTCAATCTTTCCCCTAATTCAGAAATATTCAAGGTCTGGCCTCTGAAAGATACTTTATGATAGGGACAACACTATGGTACAAAGTAATTCATCCTCTGAGGATGACTGTATTATTGCAGAATCCATTCTCATACTGACTTTCTTACACTGAAATCTGCCTCTCTGAAACTTACCCGCATTGACTCTTATGTTGTCTTCTGGGGCACCCTAGACGGCAGCTGTTCTCCACAGAAGCCCTTCAGATGTCTGAAGAAAATTGCTGTGGGGCAGGGTGGTGTCATAACCAAAGCATACAATTTGCATCTGGGTTGAGTCCCAGATCTTCCACTGTTGGCTGTGCGTGATCATGAGGAAGTCCCGTATCTCTTCAGTATCTGACTGGAGATTATCCCCACCGCATACGGTGGTGTGCTGGGGCCAGCTATGGACTGCATCTCCTCTCACCTTGGCATGCAGTGATCTCATGTTGGTCACTTCAGATGAGCCACAGTAGGAGTAGTCACACCATGGAAAGTGGCAAATGTTATAAATTCAGGCTTTTTGTTTGTTAATTTTTGTTATATCCTTGACCATATCTCAACTTAGTTGTAAGGATTGAATAAGACAGTGCAAGCAAATGTCCTCTGTGAACTGGACTATAGAAAAATAGATATTAGTGATCTTGAAAGACTGCTGCAAAATAGTTCCTAATGAATCACACTCCTAAATTCACTTCTGTGTGGTCCCTTTCCACATTATGTCTGGGCTGGTCTTATGACTTGCTTGGCCCAGTAGAATGTGACAAAAATTCTAGTCCTGGGCATGAAGAGCCTTGCAGCATCCACTTTCACTGTCCTGCTGTCCTGGGAGGCCATGATGCCAGCGCTAGCCTCCTGGAGGATGAGGGGCCATGTGGAGAAGGAGATGAAAGCACTAGCAGAGAGGTGCATACAGTCTACAGCCATTCCCAGCCTCCCAGCTGAGGTGACGGACACGCAGGCAAAGCCCTGTGTCACGGACGTTGTGGGCATCCAGCTCCTCCAGCCCCAGGCGGACTGCCAGCTGGCAGCGCACGTACCAGTGAGCCCAGCCCACAGCACTCCACCACACAGGGCAGAGAAAATCTCCCCAGCCCAGATTGCAGAATGGTGAGCCAATGAATGATTATTGTTGGTTTGAGACAGTTTTAGGTGTGGTTTGTACACAGTGATAGATGAATTACTATGGTTGTTATTGTATCAGGCCTCTCCATGTCTTCTCTTGTCCAAGTTAAACTTTCCCAGATTCCAGGACAGCAGCCTGGTGTTCCCCTGGCTGGGCTCCATTCACCAGCCCTGGGATGGACTCGGTGGTCACTCCTAGTGCTCTGACCATGCAGAGGCTGAGGGACGTTTACTCTGTGTGTTCTGGATCCTAGATAATCATCACAGTCAAAGGATGAGCCAGAGATTTTGGAACTCCTGGCTCCCTCTGTGAGCTCATTCTAAGCCTTTGCAGTCAACGCAAAACCCTAGGCTGTGAAACTAAGCTCCCCCATCCTGACACCTTTTAAAAAAATCTAACTACAAGGGTTTATAGTCATCATTATTGAACTTCTCTTTCTACTTTCAACTTATTATTTCAGCCTTTCAAAATCTGGACTCCAATTTGATTTTAAGTTTTGCTACAACTATAGCATTTCCTTACATGCAAACATTGCCCCTATACCCAAACGCACATTTATCTAGATTTGTGTACATCCAAATAAACATAAACACACAGGCATATAACAAAGACAGAAACTCATTTCAGTGTTCTCAGCAACTACGGCGTCTTCCCAGTGGTCATGGCCCTGCACAGTCAGCCCTCTGCCCTCCTTTGGCTCATCTCGTCCTTGCTTCCTGTTTTTGTAGCAGAAACCACAGCTCTAACTGTAACTTAACCAAGTAGGGTTTATCTTCTCAGGCAACAAGAAGTTCAGAGGTAGGGCGCTCAGACCAGAGCAGAGTCCCATGATGCCATTGGAGATCAGGCTTCTTCGGTGCTTCTGTTCTGCCATCCTTATCAACATCCTCATGGATTCAAGATGGCTGCTCCACCCCTGAGTGGGATATGGGACCCTGGCAGGAATGAGACTGAGAGGGAGAATGGAAAAAGGCAAAAAGCCAGTGCCACACATCCTACTTCTTCTTATCAGGAAAGCAACAGCTCTCTGGGAGGCCCCACCTGGGAGACTTTCCGTTTCCTTCATTGGCCAGAATTGGGTCACGTTGTCACCTCAACTATTAGGGAATCTGAGAAGGCGATATTTCTAACTGGGCATACTGCCACTCTCAAAAAAAGAACTGAAGTTCTGTAAATAAGACAGACATGGAGAATGAATAATGAGCAGGGAATCAGCTGGGTTTGCCACATTCCCCCACACGTACTATAAGTTGTCATCTTTGTATACCAGACACATGCCAAGTTTTTTGAAAGAAGGTTATAGAAAATGAGGAGCTGTGATAGATGGCAGAAAGTGCCAAAAATTCCTCCCATTCCTGTATAAATAACTCTTTTCGATGTGACTCTGACATTTCTCCCATCATAAGTCTACTTCTCCACCCCTTGAATTTGAATCTGAGCTGGTCCTGTGACTTGCTTTGAACCAGTAGAGTGTAACAAGAGTGCTGTTATGTGGCTCCCAAGCTCACTTCTCAAGAACTATTAAGCATCTCTTCATGCCCTCTGAGAACTCAGCACAACATGCGAGGAGGCTCAGCATAGCTCTCCCAGATGAGAGGCCACAGAGAAGGCCCGCCGGCAGCCAGCACTGACTACCACACGTGTGTGTGCTTGCATCTGGGGCCATCCAGCCCCACTCAAGCCTCTAGACAACGGCAGCTGCATAGGTACCCCAGGAAGGTCCCACAAAGCTCAGCCCGAGTGGCTGACCCACAGGATCAAGAGCAAATAAAATGGTTTCTGTTTTGAGACACTATGTATAAAACACACATAATTCATTTGTGGAATGCAAGCAGAGTGGGTATCTGTGGTGTCGCTGGACTCCTGTATTGACTCAGATCTGGTTTTCAAACTTTGCTCCTAGGAGCCCTGTGTGGAGGGCAACAGAGAGGCCAAGCTCACTGCTCCCCAAGCTCCTACCCTCACTTTAGCCAGTGCAGCTTGCCTTTATTTATTTTGCAGATTTTATTCTACATAAGATTTCATTTTGTAGAAAAAGTTATATAACCACTCACCTGGTTGATCTCTAAGTTACCTTTAACTCTAAATGTGATGATGGTAACCAGTCATAGAATTTTACCTAGTTTGAAGTTGCACCCCCCACCCCCTTCCTGTTCCTTCTCATATCATCTCATGTCCTGCCCTTAAGTTTCATTGTGAGAACACTTGATTTCCCTTCAGTCACCTGCACCAAGTCCCCCCAGTCTGCCTCCCCCCTACTCAGCATACAACCCTCTCTCTGCCTTTGCAAGCCTCCTTGACAGGGAGTGGGGCTTGTGGTTTATCCTGACAAACCAAGGCTAAATTACAAGAGGTGGCTGTGTAATCCTCAGAGCAACACATTAGAGATGGTCGAAAGTGAGAGCAGGCGGTTCTGAATGACATTTGCCAGACAGGCAGAGTGAAAATCAGCACTTTAGTGGCTACAGTCTTTCATGTGCCATGAGCCATGTCAGAGGTTACTTATCTCACCAAATGCTAACAGCCCTGGAAGATAGGCTTTATCCCCTGACTTTCACAGCTGAAGAAACATATTCAGAAAGGTTAGGTAACTTTAGGGGTCTCTGAACTACAAAGTAGAGTTAAAAAGGGTCAGAGTGTACAAACAGTGATTCTGAGATTTTTCTTTTAAGCCTTTTTTTTATGTTATTGACATTGAGCTATTTGTTTTTCTTATATTATTTAGTTAACTATATATGTAATTTTTTCCCTTAAGAGACCCTGAGCCACATTACCTTTCCCAGAGACGACTTCAGATCTCAGACACCTTTAGGGAATAGGAAGACAGATGGATGCTATAGCCATGGTGACCCAAGATGCTCATGAGGTGGTCACATGTTGCCAATGTGTGCCTGGGTTTCTTTCTCTGGCAACCACTCTTCCCCAGCAGATGTGGGACAGGTGGAGCTATCAGTCATGTACCCACCTCCCACACCTACCAGGCGTGAGCCACCAGCAGTCTGCCATCCACCCTGACAAGAGGGACTGGCCCAGTGGGTGGCACCTGCTGGCCCTCCATGCTGCCTCTGCAGGTCATGCTCTGTGTAAGTCCAGGGCTTGCTCCCCTCGAGTTACGTGGTGCAAACCTGCACAACCATGGCAGGAGGGCACAGCCATAGCCTGGGGTATAGAAATGGATTCTGGGGCCAGACCACCTGGGTTCAAATTCCAGATCCACCGGTTAATAGTTATGTGGCCTTGGGAAGGTCACTCAACTTATCTGTGCCTCAGTTTCTTCATTTGCAATAGCAGTAATAATGGGACCAAACTCATAGGTTTTTTTTAGAAATAAGGATTAAATAAGTTAATATTTGTGACCTGCTTAGCCCAGTGACCAGCTACTTAAGCGTTGGATTTAAAAAGAAACCATCCAGCAGCTCTAAGTCACATGACCCAAGTGAGGCCAGTGTCCTTCCCTGGGATTGATTTTCAGAAGTGGAGAAAGGAAGCTTTTTTTTTCTGCCACAATTTCTAAACTGGGACTTCTAGTGGCCATGCTCCTCACCATGTGGCAAAGGCATTGCTGATGAAAGAGAAGGAGCACAATGTGCAAAGATGCGCAGAGACAAGCAGAACAGAGAGCTGCAGGGTCCTGGCAAGGCTGCATGGCCACTGTGATTCCTGAAATCCTTCCTGGGCTTCTGTAGCTACCCAGGTGTTCTCTCCCTCTTATTTTTGTTTCAATTAGGTGAGTTTATTTTCTGTCCCTGACAACTGAAACTATCTTTGCTAATCTGGGTACCTAGGATCCGGGGCTGCAAGTTCAAATGGCAATGGGAGCCAGGAGGTTGAGTGTGGGGGAATCGCTTTTGGTGGCAAAGGGCATATTGAGAAATGTCTCCCCAAGGAAGCAGCAGTTCAAGGGCAAGATCAATAGCCCTCGGCTGCCTGCCTTTACTCGGTCTGAACGGCAGTCCATTTTGCCTTGAAAGTGCAGTTCAGCAGTATCTTCTGATTTTTTTTTTCTCCTAAAGAAGCCATAAATATGTGACTCTCTCATTCTATAAACACTGGATCAAAGTTGTTTACATTATGCAACACATCTGCAGACAAATGTGTCTCCAGGGCCAGTTATCACAGCAGCCCATTCAGTTCCAGGGTTTCCCTGTGGGTGGACTAACGTGGGAGTCGACATAGAACCAGAGTCCTGGGATTCCAAGTCTGGAGTTCAACCTCTGACAAGAGGCGTCTGGATTCCCCTGCTTTACCCCCACATCAAAGCTGGCCTCATGTGAAGGGACTCCCCATTGTCTAGTGGACCAGTCCCCTCCTCGCCAGTGTCCTAAGCCTCTCTTTGGCTCTTCCCAGGCTGATATTTCTCTGCATTCAAGTGGGGGAGGAGGGGAGTGCTGACAGAGGAGGCCCACCAGCCACAAGTGACCCCACAGCAGTCGGATGCTCCAGTTTTCTTTGTGTTTTTTATAGTTTGGGTAGCAGGAACCCGAGTGCCCAGGGTCTGCAGCTGGAACA